GTCAGAAAAATGAATACCACTTAACGACCAACGTTGTGGCGTGGTACACAAGCATGCCATCAAAATAAAACAAAATTAGCTTGAAAAGACAGTGGGTTTGAGTCCCGCTCAGAGCTACCGTAAAAACTTAAATCAAATGAACTGAAATCTCTCAAACCGTAAACAAGTAAACAAAGAACGTCGCGAAAAAATAATAAACCTTACAAAACTCCACCATACAAAACTGAAAGAATAAATAATAAATAACTTACGTCTTAAACTGGACGACACGCAATTTGTTCAACAGTTTCCAGATTATGACAAGAGATAAACAAGACCCAAGGGAAGGTAAGTTTTGTTAAAGTGTTGATGGCCGCATTCCCTATATTACGAAAACAATTCAGGCAACAGACGAATATCTTCTGTGGTGTTGTGGAATTTATACTGTGTCTGCGGAATTGTTGATTGAGGGTTCGAAGCCAGCAGTTAACATTTTGTTAGAAAATTTCACAATTAAATCAAATATCCAATGATACCAGTATATTTATTTCATTATTTTAACAACTTTCAATAGTAGAAGTTGGTCAAACACGAGTTCTTACACCTAAATAAGTATCAAATATTTGTCGACACATTTATTCTCTCAATTTAACAACTTTTAATTGTGGGAATTAATTAAACGAGAGTTGTCTACACCAAAATTAATCTCAAATATTTGTCCACACATTTATTGTCACAATTTAACCACTTGTTAATAGTGGAAATTACTTAAACGCGAATTGTTTAATCAATTGACATCAATGCAACTTACCCGCAGACAGTGCACAAGAGTATCATTATTGAGCAATTATAAACAGGAACGTGTCTTGGCATTAGGGTTATGGTTGGGTCAGGTATGGGCAACGGAATTATTAACAGTAACGTGTCTTGGCATTAGGGTTAGGGTCGGGTCAGGTATGGGCAACGCAAATGGCAAACACCCAGTTTGCAAGATGTACACTAATGGGTTATGGCATACATATAGTTTACACAAGTAAAAACACAAAATTGGAAATTTTTTGGACAATTGTAACTCAATAATAGAAATATGTTGTATTTCTAGATATATACACACTATATAGTCTTATCAAATGCAAACACATCCAGTCAATCAATTGTGGTCTTGTGGTTCAGTTGTCTACACAGTGATCAGGAGGACCCGGGTTCAATTCCCATGCCTGCCCATCTTTTTCTCGCAAACACTATTTGGCAATAAAGCTAAATATGAGAACAAATTATTCAATTTGCATGACTACCCACATAGCTCAGTTGATTTGTACTATGTCAGCAATGTGAGCGATCGCTGGTTCGAATCCAGTATGTTTAGTTAGGTTTTTAAATGGTAGTGAAGACAGTGCTCCTATGAATAGGACTAAAATCCTATCTCTTGTGTGAAGACACTCGTGGTACAGTGGACAAGACAGTAAGCTGGGAACTCAAAGATCGCAAGTTCGAATCACGGATTGGACACTCCTACAAAAGACATGAAAGACGTTAAAAACATAAACAGCGGATTCAAAAACTCAAGTCAGAAAAACAGAACACAAGAATACTACCCCACATGGAAGCCAGTCGAAATCGTCGAAGAACGAACAGAGTTGACAGCTGTAGGTCACGTGCAACAGACACAAGGAGCATGGCTGCTATCCAAATGGGTCTCTTCTTTTGTATTGACCCCCCTAAGGATTACTAATCCCTCTTTCTAACTCTTCCCCCAAAAATAATATATCGCCCCTTTTAAAATGTATTGACCCACAAATTAATGAATATTCATGAGCACAAAAACTGCTACGTATGAATAAATTAGCATAATTTTAAAAAAATTGCATAAAGTGTAGGTACTCCTTCTGGAGCCCTGCCCTTTATTCTTTAATTCCAGCCCTTTGAGGTTAAAATTACGGTCGACTGTAATCAGAGAGCTACACACAGCTCCCTGATGTAACGCGGAGCTTGGTGTATATGTATGATCATTGTAAAACTAGCCACAATTCCCCTATACAGGAACTGTGACCCAGCAATGTTACAACAGTCGACTGTGATTCAAACTCCTGAGAGTGACTTCAGGGACGTTTAACACAGAAACATTTGAGTCACTTACCCACCGTAACTATATCTTCATGGATAAGATTGGCGAAATTTGCGATATAGTGTTAGTCATTGCCTCCGTCGGCGGTGTTGATTCATTTTATTTTTCTTCTGCTTCAAAACAAAACTACAAGGCTACCATTGCTATCCCATGGTGCACCGGAAAGTGAACACATCTCGTAGCCTTCGATTCACGCGAGATTTGTCGAGAGCGTCGATTTCATGCTATCCAGTCGCGTAGCAACCTTCAAAATTTCCCGGGATTATTACGTCACTTCTACCTAATTGATTTTCAATTCTAAAATTGCGTCTCTCCGTCTGTTGTTAGTAGACGCGTTTGTCTTATATTTTTTATTTCCCAAGGAACCTTCAGGTACGCAAACAGAATTATATTTTATGGTACAATGTAAGTATACTACTACATATATACATCCTGGTATAAGCAAAAGAACTGTTGTTGTTATTGCTGAAATGTTGCTGTTATTGACGGCTAATGTTACCAACTGTTGCCGACACTCTAACACTGTGTTCATAGGCCATAACGGGGTCGTAACGTTATAGAAGTAATGAGAGTAGCAATTTCGTGTTGTTGGTGATACACTGACATTGAACAGCAGTAATTGATTGGATCTGTCTGCTACAAATTTGCAATTATAACTTAAAAGTGTATCTACTTCCCATGTGATACCAACCCACTCTCCTCAGGTATCACATTTTTTTCACCTCAAAATTACGCCTAATAATATGTACATTTACCAACAAATATTCGTAATTAATAGTTGGAAACCCTAATAATATTTTAGTATGACAGTGAAAGTTGAAACAAATCAAACAATGTAATTTTATGATATAACTATCACGATAAAACATGTGAAGTGTGCTTGAGTTGAAAGTCTGGATTCTAGCACCATTTGGAATTTCAGTGTTTAATTTACAGCACAGTAAATGTATTACCAAAAAAAAAAACAATAATATGTATACTGGATACGTTAAAAAATGACTTATTTTGGCTGCATGACACACTTACTAGTATCCAACAAAAAATAAAATTTATTAA